CACACACACACACACAGCCATCCTCATTAGCCTGTCAACACAAAGCTGGCTTGTTTTACAGTACATTTGGCACTGCAAATCAATTACCTCACATTTACAGTTAATTGGCCCATGTATTCTTGGCACTATGAAATGATATCTGGCTGGATCCAATGGGCCTGTGTTGGAACAGCGGTTGTGTTGTTGTCTACTTGAGGACAAAGGTTCATGTTCAGGTGTTCAGCTCTAATTGTTTTACATTCAGTTTGTCAGAAATGGATGCTTTTACAGTACACAAACACAATAATGCCACTGTTTTCAATTCTGCAGGTCAATAAATACTCTACCGCATATACAATATGTGAAAAGGTATCTGTCCATTGTGAGGCATTGCCCATCAGGTCTTGAACTGCTGTGCTGTGAGACTGAATCCTTTTTTAATATTTGAATATAAATGTGTCAATTGGAATTATGAGCGCAGAAAAACTGTAGCCACTCACTGGAAGATTATTGTCACACCTACATCATGTCACACATAGGCGGTGCTATCAAATGGCAGTGATGGAACAGTTTGGAATCCCTATTAAGATTAAAATTGTTTTTTTTATGTGACCCAGGTTTAAAGTAGGCTGTAACTACACCTCTGTAATGAAAACACACAGGAAAGTGTTGGAAGGCATGTAGAGGCCTCCTTGTTTGCGATGTAGGGCAGCTGATAGGGAACTGCATTACATTTTCCCCACTGCAAGGACACCCTAGAGGACACTTTATCTTGTTTTATCTACCATAGGGACATCCAGGAGGGCACTTTTGCAGCTTTTTTGTGACACCAGTGTGAAATGGTCATGAAAACATTATTGGTACACAGAGGCACTGGATTGTTGGTGTGTTTAGTTAAGCAGAAAAAGATAAAATTGCTCCTTTAATAGTGATTTTTTTCTGTCTTTTTATTATTTGGTATTAGTAAAATGTGGCGATAGTCATCATATTTTTCTCGCTCTCTCCTCATCTGCTTCTTTGTGTTAAAAAACAGTATGCTTACATCTGTAATGTAAGTAACATAACTTGCATAATGTAAGTTAAGAAAGACGTCGGCATTTACCTTTAAACAGTGGTCTCCATGGTGAAATTCCTGTTTGTTTGACCCATCCAGACATACCAACCTCCTTCACACACAGACTTTATCGCTTTTTATGCTACATCACCCAACTTCAATGACAAGACAAAACATTACACTAGACGGAAAAGAAATGACACCAGAAGCATACCTACAGTGACACTGTTTGAAGTATAGGGCCACATTTTAAGTCTTGGGAGTGAGAGAGCGCTGGGAAAAGAAAAGAATGAATAGAAAAAAGAAGAGTAGTAGACTAGGTAAGACTAATAATAGGTGTGAAAGGTTTGTATTCACAAGAATTGCACTTTTTGTCAGGTTAGGGGTTGTACATTTGTTTAGGATTGGTGTAGAAAGGGCTCTCTCCATATAGTTTATTGGACTTTGAGAATATGAAGAGTCGTTACTTGAATCAAAAAGAGACTATAAACTATTAACATGTAAGATACTGGTCTTAAACAACAGACCTTGGTGTGTGTTTGTGCCTCTTTGGATGAGAGCGTGTCACCTCAGGTTGGGAACAGAGCGTGACTTATCGGAGAGGAGAGGGGAAGACAGTGGGGACAAAAATAGACAAAGGGAACTGTTCTCTCCTACAAATTTAAATGGTTCTGGCTCCTCGCAGCCAGCTGGGACTCATGAAATATTGTTTGATTGCTGTAATCCATCACATCTTTTGACACACAGGGACGTGTGTGAGTGTATTTGTTTTGGGGGATACAGTTGGGACTTGGCCTCCTGCGATAACAGTGGCAGAGAGAAGAGAGAAAGCTTCAGGGAGATGTTTTTTATTCGATGGAATATTTTTACTTTCAAGTACACCAACATATGCAGATGTTTCTGAATGTTGGCGTCTGGTGTCGTGCAGATTTAATTGACCCTTTCTTGAGTCCAGTCCCTTTTGGAACCTCGGTCAACTTTCTCCTTTCCTGTAGCCTACAGATATGCTATGAGCTAGGCTCATCGGCTGTTTATTGAAAGGTCCAGTGTGTATTTAGGATGATCTAATGTCAGAAATGGAATGTAATATTCATATAGGTATGTTTTCAATTATAATGATCACCTGAAAATAAGAATCGTTGTTTTTTTTTAACCTTGAAGTTAGTTGTTTTTATCTATAGATGCCACGGTTTACCTTCTATGGAGGCTGCATGTTGAAGCGCCGTGTTTCTACAGTAGCCCAGAATGGACAAACCCTGGCTTGTGTATAGAGCCTTTTGCGGCCAGCGTAGTTTCTCCTGTCTGCAACTACACCGCTAGATACCACTACATCTATCCATCCTGGTCCCTTATGTTTTTGTTATGTATAAAGTGAAACATTCTGACATACCGTACCTCCCTTCCTACAGTTCTGTGAAAGAGACCAGGGGCCAGATGCATAACAAATATAAGTCAATGTGACTCACGTGCACCAGATACACAGCTGTGCTATTTATAGCATATATAGTATCAATAATTCATGAATCATAAGATGTAAATGATCATTTACATCTTATGATACTAATGTTGTATCTCAATCATCATCATCAAATGTCTGGAAGGTAATCAGTAATGTTGTAGGCTGTAGCTCTCACACTGAAATACACAAAGTGCTTAGCAATCAAGAATCACATAAAAAGGCCACAGGAAAATGATGAGAAAAGAAAATGCAAAAAGCTAAATATGTAAAAAAGAATATTAAAAGTAAGAGCACAAGCCTAGAAATAAAAGCGTATAATCTTAGCCCAGTTTAAATGTCTGTGTATACTCATGAACACATTGTGAAATTGACTAACAACTTGAAAGAATAACGCTGCATATTAGATTCTGCCTCTCACCTTATATTTCCATTTCCACATATCTCACTGAACTCCCTCCAGAAATGCATGTGTTTGCTTTGTTTGAAGTATGCGTGACAGCATGTTCTTATTTTCTAAGTAAGAATTTATGTGTGGGGAATGTGAAGTGCATACTCATCCTGCCCCAGGACCTTTCTTTGTAGCTCTCTTTTTACAGTCGCTGATTTGGGGGAATTATGTGAAAGTGGAAATGAAAAACATGTTGATTTGACATATTAACTGCACTTACATTGTTTGTAGACAATGATTAGATATTGCTGTATCCCTTCATATGCTGGTTGCTGTCTGTAGATGGAGGTACAGTAGGTAGCATCAGTGAATTAGGAAGCATTTTAATCAATCCCTGGTTCTTATGAATTTGGAACTGCCTCAAAGCAGAACCAACTATCCATATCTGTTCTTTTCAAAAATATTACATTTTGTGCTTTTGTTCCCTTAAAAGACCTGTCAATGTATTTGTAGTTTGATGTGTACTGTTATAATAGTGTGCTAATGGGATAATGTGGGTGAACTAATATAGAAAGTCACATAGGTGGCTTCTCAGCATGGGCTGAATGAGAGGGCACGTAAGGAAATAATCTTGACTAACACACAAAAAGACCAGGACAGAGATTCTGCACCTTAAGGCTTTCTTACTGTAAGGCAACAGTCCCTGCACTCTATCAGCTTTTTATGTACAGTAAAGTGGAATTTAATGATGTTTTTCAGCTGATAAGTGTGGAACTGATAGCACAGAGTAGATAATACTTCAGGTCCAGGTTATTTGAGGATAGAAATAGTTTAATGAAAGGAAATAGTGAATTCAGTTATTCCTTTTGTTCATACTGCTGGCTGTTATGTCATCGGTGATCACTGATTGGACAGTCACAATTGAACCACCATCTTCACTGATTAAACACAGAGTGTTCCACTGCTTTGTGTTCATGCAAGTACTTCACAATTTGTTCTAAGAAAAGTGTTAATTGAAGTCAAGGTCAGGCTACATGTTTTAGAAATCTTTGAAGAAACATGCCTCTTCTATTTACCATATAACTGGACACATGTACATACAATAATCTATTACAAATGGATTTTTTAACTTTGGGAGGAAAAAAAACCAAAAGAAATTAATTAAAACTAACTGCAGCATTTAAAGATTTAAAGATGTAAGAAGATCGTGCAGTGTCAAATGTAGTTTGGTGTTTTAGTTCCATAAACATTGCTCAGAAGCAGGCAACTCTGGAGGCAGAAATAGTATTACTGAATTAATATGAATGAGTGAGGCCAAAGAAAATGGTTTCAGAAGCACACATTAACTAACTGCCAAGCTGGAAAGGCACTCTAGTCAAAATATAGATTCTTGGCTTTTAGTTCATGAAAGTAAGGGGTCAGTGTCGCACAGCTCTTATTCACTCCAGTCTATTCCAGCACATTTCTAAATGTCATTCTGTAATGTTATACACACATTATGTTATTAATTAGTTATAGTATATGTTTACAAAATATACTACTCAGTACAAACAAGGCACAGCTTCCTTTTGCCGTGGTTAATCATGTCCTACATAGAAGGTGTCTGTGTTCCCTGTGCTCATTTTCTAAATTTAGTTAGCAAATGCATACTGAAATGCAAATCCATATACATGTTATATGCATGAATGCATATTCCAAGCAAAGCAACCATGTTGACAGACTCCTTTGACAGTGACTCCAGCAGCTCCTTGCCTGTCTTTAGGCCTGCTGCTTAACATTTCACAACAGAATTTTAA